CACACACACACACACACACACACACACACACACACACACACACGAGTCTCCACTCCATCTAGTCACCACCTGCACAGGGCACATGTGCACACCACGCCTGTAAGTGCACCTGTACAAGGCGTGACAAGACCTGGCCACAGGCTGCTAGCTGGCAGGGCTCTAAAGAGGCCCACGGCGCCCAGCCCCAAACTCCAACCAGACAGCTTTGTATGAAAGGCTACTGTACCACGCTGGCCACGAGCACCCCTCGTGAGGCCAGGCCCTGTCCCTGGCTGGACGTCTGTGCACACATTAGCATGGTCCACACGGGGACATATGTCAGGGGTGTTCAGAGTTGGCCCTGCCCAGCTCAGACCCTGGATTACAGATTCCATCTTGAATTGAATATGAGAAAAGTGATGCTAGGCCAAGTTTAATCCCTGGTACCCCTCAAGCCAAAAAGAGGTAATCCATACTCTTTTAGGGAGACAACAAAAGTGAAATATACACTGATTTATAGTTCATGTAAAATTATAGCAAACAGTATAAGTTCATAATAATGTAAGGTATATAACTACATAACTACAGGTAAATATCGCTACATACGGAAACGTTTCTTCATCTTCGAGGTCTCTTGGACGTAATATACCTCCTACTCCATGCACAGTGCCCTGGCTCTCCCTCGCAGGTGTGTGCCGTGTGCATCCACACGGTCATCCTTTCAGACAGCCCTGGGGGTCCCGAGGCTGCCCTATTCCTCCACTGAAGACCTGCCATGGCCATGGGCCTGCCCGCTTGCTCACATCCTGTAGGGAGGCCTCCGCGGGGCGCCCTCCAGAGCAACAGGGTCAGAGGCCCTGGCTGACGGTGCAGGGGACCTGCTGAATGGCCCCCCCACGCCTATGTGCAGCCCACGGGGACCTCAGCGAGATGCCCTGGGTCAGCACAGGGGTCACAGCCAGTCCTGCAGCAGGTCGCGTGTGGGACGGGGCGACCTCCAGGGAAAGCGGCTCTCATCTTGTTGGCAAGTCCATCGGCCCGGGCCAAACTTCCCTGAGCTGCCAAAGGGAGTCAGGGCAGAGCGTGCTCCGGTGCCCGGGTGGAGTGAGGAGGCGGGCTGCAGGCTTCCCAGGCTCCGCCGCAGCCCGAGGCCGTCTGGTAATTCTGCACGCTCCACAAATGTGGTTAAAATAGCCAAATGGTCCTTGGCAGAGGAAAGTTTCCTTCCTCTCGCCTTCAACATGACGCACAAAGGTGAGCATGCGTGGATACTTAGTAAGTCTGGAACTTTACATTCTGTATGCCTAGTGGTTTCCAGAAACCAAAAACCAGCCCCCAAACTCTTCATCTCTACCTTAAACCAACCTTCCCAGCTGCCTCTGTGAGGCGGCTTGGTTTGTCATCTGGGAAGGATGTAAAGTCTCAGTGTTAGGTGGCTGGCTGGCTGGCCACTTGACATGCTCACTTTCTTGTCTTTATTAAAACAATTGTTTTCTTCTTCTTAGATTGCCAACAATTCCTCATCTCTGAAAAGAACTTATAGTATAGTAGCCCAATAGAAATCCATTTCGTAGGTCGATCTGGCTTAAGCTGGGCATGGTGTCCAACCTGTGATCTTAGCTACTTGGCAGCTCTGACAGGATTGGCGTTCAAGGCCAGACTAGGCAAACTTGCACCTGTAGCTGGGCGCAGTGGCATGAGCCTGCTGCCTGGAAGAAGGTGGGATCATGGTTGTGGGCCAGCCCAGGCAGCAAAACTCCCGAGACCCCGTCTCATTCCAAGAGCAAGAGGCTGTGGTCATGGCCGGAGGCCTAAGATAGGCAGCAGATCCCAGCAAAAGGTAAGAGGGTAAAACAGGTCCAGAGGTGTGCTTTAGTGGTAAAGTGCCTACCTTGAAAGAGGAAGGCCTGGAATTCAAACCCCAGTACTACCAGAGGGGTGGGGGGTGGGGGGGAGAGGGAGGGAGAGATTTGGCTTCAAGTAAAAGAGAGTTGCAGGGCTGGGAAGGTGGCTCAGTGGTAGAGTGCTTGCCTAGCATGCAGGAAGCCTTGAGTCCAATTCCTCAGTATCACATACTCAGAAAAAGTCAGAAGTGGTGCTATGGCTCAAGTGGTAGAGTGCTAGCAAAAGAAGCTCAGGAACAGTGCCTAGGCCTTGAGTTCAAGCCCCAGGCCTTGGGGAGGGGGAGGGAGAGAGAGGGGGGAGGAGAGGGAGAGAGAGAGTTGCAGTCACTGAACTGTACCCTGGTGTTTGGTGCCAACCGTCAGTGGAGGTAACACCAGCACAGCAATGGCATCCTCAGGCTTTGCTCAGCACAGACCACCAGATTTTTCTGGTACATTTGATAGGCTAAGAGGGTTAGAAAGCATCAGAGACTCCCCCATCTCCCTCCTCCCCCACCCTCCTCTGTCTCACACACAGACACACTTATCTCACTGTATACACAGTGTATACAGTAAACACCCGGGGGAAGAGCTGTCCAGCTGCCTGGGAGACGGCTCTGCAGCACAGCCCCGGCCTCTGACCCCACCTCAGGAGGGTGGCGCTGCTCAAGATCTTCAGTGGTTTCTCAATCCCAAAGTCGAAAATACTTAACAGCACCCCCAAATCTGAGCTGCTTTTCCCTCGCCCTGATTCCTCTCTTGTCCCCCCACAGGTGGCAAATCCCACAGCTGTGACCCCAGCGGGTCAGAGCCTGTACCCCAGAGCACAATGCTCTCCCCAGATTCAGAGCTGACTCAACTCCTCCTCAAAAGCTGAACCCACCCCGGCAACCTTCCAAATGTGACCACCACCTTTCCTTCTCTGATGGACAGGAGTCCACTAGCTTCAGACCCTCTGCCAGTCTGTCTCTCCTTCACTATTCCCTCCCCACCTCTAAAGCACAGAGCAAACCCGGCACCTCAGCTCCGGGGAGGATGCCTTGCATGAACACGAGTCGTCGCTGTGCTCGCAAGCTCTACAGCACGCACACTGTACAGTTCTAGAATTCTGGCACTGTACTGTGAAGTGCCGATCTTGAACAACGTGCCCCATACTTAGCAAAACGACCTGGCACAGAGCACTCATCCACACTTGCCGAGGAAATGAATTTCTGTACTGAAACCCCAGCTGCTACGAGGGGCGGCAGGGGAGCACGGAGACTTGGTGCCCAGTCCCCAAGAGGGCCCAGCCCCCCCCCCCGGGGCAGGCACCCCACCTGGGCTGGGGAGACAAGGCTCAAATGGAGACTACTCACCACCATGTTGTACGCATCAGGAACTTCAGTTTCAAACTGAAATTTTCCACCCTGGTAGTAACCCTCATCTATTAAAAACACACAAAAAAAATCCTTTAAATAGACAAAAAAGGGACAGAAGGCAAACACTAAGTTAGGGTTTGGCAAACAAAGGGAATTAGACTAGGGCTGCAGAGCTGGGGAGGGGGGTCAGTCCTGCCCCGGGCGGGGTGGGGCGGGGCACAGGGCGCGTCCTGGGCTCTCCCTTGCCCTGGGCCCTTCCTGTCCTCCAGGAGGTGAGGGGCTCCACCACACCTTCCCCATGATACACTGAAACTTACCGTCATAAGCAAAGTGAACCTCCCCTACCTTACAGAGTTCCTCCAGTAACAAGAACACTAACCCGTGCGTATGTCTAACTCTTATACATGCACCTGGATTTGTGACCGTACAAAGACAGTGAGCGACAGCCCCCTGTTCTTCTCCCAGGCACTGAGGAGGGATCCTCACGCCAATTTGGACACGAGACACAGAACCTCAAAACCTTCACTCGAGGCTTCTTAGCTCTGCAGGTGGTGAAATCCACTCTGCACGGTCACCACAGCTCACGGGGGCCTCGTGAGCCTGCTCTGCCCCCTCACCAGAGACCAGCTTCCCTGCCACACACGCGGCCCATCCCAGGGCCCAGGCTCTGTCCTTCCAGGAATGACCGCTGCCCACATTAGACACAGGGCTAACATAAGACTACTCCGGAACCTTCCATCCTTCCTCCTTGGTATTCTCTCCAGTTAGCTTTCCATTCCACTGAAGAAATAAGATTCCAACTCTCTGCCCGTGTCAAAGATGCCAGACCATTCTCTCTGCTGTCCCTCAGCTGGAACTGTATCTGTAAGTCCTGGTTTTGCGGTCTCCATGGACTATAGCAAGCTTTGTCCATTTGTGCCCTAACAAGTGAGGAGCATAAACCGTAACCAGGACAGCAGTCATCGGTTGACTGTGCCCACCATGCTCTCATTTACACATCTTTTCTTGTTGCTATTTTAAAGGTGATGTAGGAAGGGTTACAGTTATGTAAGTCGGGTAATAGGTACATTTCTTTTTGGACAATGTCACCCCTTCCTTTGTTCTCTCCCAGTTTTTCCCTCCCATCCTCTCCCACAAGGTGTACTGTTCCTTTCAACACAGTGTCTAGTGAGTACCACTGTTGCATTTGTTCAGAATTACCTTTCTTAACTCTGCTCTGAAAACAGAAGAGTCCTTTCTCATGTTTCTTCTTTCACGAGACCACCTCTGGGAGCTCAGTGCGTCTCTCCTGGAAGCCGCAGCGCTTACCTGACCCGCACTGCCTCGTCGATGCCGAGCCTGCCCCGAAGCTGCACCACCCACCCTGCGGCACGTTCTCCCAGTGCTGACCGCGGGCCATCTCCCTGACCCCTCTCCTCACTTGGCTCTGTAGCCACACTGCCCCACGCACCTGCGCCAGGCAGGGTGCCTATGGCCTGTGCTCACCGTGGCCCAGTACACCATGACCCAGTTCATGCAGGCCTAGTTCCCAGCCAAGGTGCTGAAGCTAGAACCATCTGGCTTCTTGGCCAACTAGGACTTAGCACACAACAGTGTGCAGAGGGAGAAAGCTGAGCCCCACTTTCCATTACAATGTGAGGAAACCCTTCCCTCCTCCCTCCCCCCAGCTCGAGTCCACTTCTTCTTGTCTTGGAGGAAGCACACGCCAGAGTGTGCCAAGGGGACCAGGTGTAAGAGCAAAACCCTCAAGGAGTGTGTGCACACTGGCCCCTAGGCAGGACCATTTCTACACGGCCGAACTCCACGCTGGACAACATGCCAACATGCTCCTGGGGCCTAGTGGTCTCCCCAGCCCCTAAATGCTCCACTTCAAAGGAAGGCGTCCTCTCACAGGCTGGGTGAGCTGCCCCACCTCCAGGTGTGAACATCCCCAGAAGACTGAGGCCCCGTGAACTTCCCCTGCCTCACACTGAGTGTGTGAGTGTGCGCACGCATGTGGGCATGCGTGTAAGGTACAACACTGTGCCTACGAAACGCACTTCGTGGAGGAATGTCCTGAGTTCAGACACTGCACTTTGGCAGCAGGGATGACTGACAAACCCCTTTATAACTCTGATCTCTGCACCTCTGTGAACGCACGCCTCACACCCCTGAGAAACAAGCCGAGGTGCCAGGAACAACCATAAGGGCTCTTCCTGTCCAGGGTCTATGCCCATGCCCACCGCAGGGTGACAGAACTGGCCTGAGAAACGTTGAAACAGGAGCTTGAAATAGAGTATGAGCTGGCCACTGTGACAACGAACACGTTTGCCTGTCATTTCTAATAAGTTGAATGTGATGAATCTGCAGTTCCAACTTCTGGGTGAAAACGTAGAGAAAGTGGCAGGACTGTCTTCAGTATTAGCTAACCATGCAATTTTCTCAACTCTAAGTGCTCAGGATGAAGCAGGCTCTCTGGAAGGAAGAGCGGCCGGTGTGGCCGCCAGCCGGCTGCCAGGAGCAAGTGCAGGAATGTGTGCACAGCGAGGGACCTCCCTGGGGAGCAAGGCCTCTGCTACGTCACACACTGTCCACTCCTCTCCCTTGGATGAAAATACCAGAAGACACCTTGTCTAGCCATCAGCAGAAAGACCCTGAAAGACCCTGTTTCTCACTTGCGATTTTAACTTTCAAATACAAAGACAAGACATACCTATAACAAAACACCTTCCCTACTAGTCTTGTTTATGTGAATAACGTTCTTCAGTACTGGCACTGAACACTTCTTCCTGGCAAGAAGTGATATTCATTCACAAATACCATCTCCACTAAGGGAAGGCAGCAATAGTAACGGACCATCACACTCATACACTGCAGAGGAGCTCATGCTCTTTGATACACTGTATCAAAGCTTACACCCTGCTGCTCAAACCACCACTCAGTCAGCAAGTACTCAACTAGTGTCCACAACTGTGCAGACACATCAACAAGAGACAGTGCCTACCTTATTCTCCAGTGGAAAAGTATAGACCATCAGGTTAACAAGATGAAGGAGTAAGAAGGCAGAGCAGCTGCATTTCAGAGCCAGCCGTGGGAGAGCAAGCCTGGGAAGGAAGAGCTTTCCAGACAGGACAGCAGCGGTGTGTTCTCAGCGTATGGCAGAGGGGGAGGCGGGAGGTGGGGGAGGGCCTGGCTGCTCAGAGAGATGGAGGAGAGGCTGAGCAGCAGGAGCTGCAGGGTGGTGTGCAAATCGCAATGCAGAAAACAATATAGAAACGTGACATTATGACTCCCTCAGAAACTCATAATCCCTCAATCAAAATTCAAAAATACTGAAATGACAAAGAACTCAAAAGTCTAGTTTACAAAATGATCAATGACCCAATGACTTCACATAAATGAAGAAGTTAACTCAAGTTCTGGATGGTGAAGTCAGTAACATGGATAAGGAATTCAGCAAGGAAATAGAGAATCAGAGAAAAGCACAATGGACATGAAATGAAAATCTCAACACAAAGCACCACCAGTAGGCCAGATTAGGCAGAAGAACCACATCAAGGACTGAAGACAAGGTTGAGGAAATAAATAGCAGATTCTGACAACTCTAAGGGGAAAAAAGTATGACTACAACTTTTTGGTTGTTTTTCTAGTATTTCAGTGGTACTGGAGTTTGAATTCAGGGCTTTACACTTGTCTGTGCCCTGCCACTTGGGTCACACCTCCCATCCTTTTTGCTTTAGTTTAGTTTGAGACAGAGTCTAGCATTTATTTATGCCTCCTGTGCATAGCTGGTATGACAAGTCTATAGCTATCCTCACAGCTTCTCATTGCTTGAGAAGGGGCTCCCATGAACTTTTTGCCTAGGCTAGCTTTGAACCTGTCTCTGGAGGAGCTGAAGTTACATGTGTAAGCCTGTTTTTGTGCCAGTTCTGAGGTTGAACTCAGGGCATGCACACTGGCTGTCCGAAGCGTTTTTGCTCAAGGGTAGTGCTTGAGCCACAGCTCCACTTAAAGCTTTTTTTGTTTTTTGGTCTGTCCCTCAGCTCTTCAGCTCGAGGCTAGCGCTCTACCACTTAAGCCACAGCACCACTTCTGGCTTTTTTCTTTTTGCTTATGTGGTGCTGAGGAATCGAACCCAGGGCCTCAGGCATGCAAGGCAAGTGCTCTACCACTGA